AGCCCTGCTGTGTGCTGGGCTGCACCCCCAGAGCCTGAGCAGCAGCTCAGTGAGGGGATCCTGCCCCTCTGCTGTGCTCTGGGGAGACTCCCCCCTGCAGTCCTGATCCAGCTGGGCTGGATCCTGACACTGCTGGTGTCCATCGAATAGTTGTCCAAAGCCCCTCTCCAGCTTTCTTGTAGGGGACCCCTTTACCCTCTTGCCTGCTGGTTTGCTCCCTGCAGTATCCATAGCCCAGCACACGCTCATGTGCTGTGGTGCTTTCATTGCTGCATGGAAAAGGGCTTTCCCTGTGCTGCTGTGAGCACTTTGGCTGTAAGAAGTCCCCAGAAAGGGGACAGGGCATGGGTTGTTTTTTCTTTTTCAGGCAGCACAATGTCCATGTGTGTCCTTCCATTCCCTCTGTAATCCTGAAGGAACACATGTGACATCCTGTCCTGTCTTCAGCCTTCCCATGGTGAGGAAGTTTCCCAAGCTTGGGAATGGAACTCTCTCACTTGCTAAGGTCTTGTCAAACTTTCTCACCACGTGCACGGGCTGGAAAAGCTTGAGAAAATTCTCCTTGCTGCATCCCTTTCTCTGGGAGATTTAACTCTTTACCAGCCTCTTCTTCTAAAGACTGTTACAGCTTCTTTCTGCCCTTCATCTGGGGGTGGAAGACTTCTTAATGTGGTCTTGTCCCATGATAAAATGCAGACACTCCAGTTTTGGCGACATCCATGACCATGGTGCTGTTGTGGAACTGCACAAACCTGTTCTCTGCCAGGGGTTTGTTAGGTGTAAACTCACCTCTGCTCTCCTCCCTGGAGTCTGAGGCCTCTTTGCTCCATGGGCAGCTCTGTCCATGTCTGGTCTCTGCTCTTCCACCTCCCTAAAAGAGTTGTGCTGTTTCATGTTAAATAAGCTACCTCCCTCCTTTCCTTTTTGTGGTACCTCACTGGTAACCACTGTGATTCTATGCTCTACACCAGGAAAAGCTTTGGTAAGGCAGATAAAAAGCCAGGCTTCCCACCACCTCTAAGTACAAGAGGGTGAATGATGGGGGGTGTTCAGAGCATGGTCCTGCACAGGTTTTGGGGAGCAGTACAATGGGAGACAGATCCAAGTCAAGTGCCAGTCCCAAACATAAACCACAACTATGTTCTACATTCTCCTGCAGAACAGAGTGTAATGGGAGAAGCCTGGAGCCCCAAGCCAAGCACTCTGCTTCCTTTCCCAGCCAAGAGTGTCCCCAACAACCTCAAGGGTACCCTTGGGCTTGCAGTGTGTTACGGAGAGGTTTGCTGTGTCACCCCTGCCTTGGCAGGGATGCTGGGGCTGTGCCCTCATTTCACAAGGAAGCAGAAAGAAGCAAGTCCAAGGGCACAGTTACGCCAGTCACAGGACAAGGAGTCCTCAGGGAGGCCACCTCCTTGGCTGAGGACACCACAGCCCCCAGGAGCTAAGCCAAGGGAGAGAGAATGAACCCATGATTACATGAGGGAACAGTGGCAAAGAGCCAGATACACAGGAGACCTGAGCAGCCCAGAATGATTGGGGTGGGCAGCTATTTCCACCTGCTCCAGTACCACCAGATAAGCACAGGGCTGGCCATGGAGGGTAAAGGTCTGACATCAGTTTACACTGAATCATTAAATGGTTTGTGTTGGAACAGACCTTAAAGCTCATCCAGTTCTAACCCCTGCCACGGGCAGGGACACCTTCCACTAGAGCAGCTTGCTCCAAGCCCCTGTGTCCAGCCTGGCCTTGAACACGGCCAGGGATGGGGCAGCCACAGCTTCTCTGGGCACCCTGTGCCAGCGCCTCAGCACCCTCACAGGGAAGAGCTTCTTCCTAAGAGCTCATCTCAGTCTCCCCTCGGGCAGGTTAAAGCCATTCCCCTTGGCCTGTCCCTACAGGCCCTTGTCCAAAGCCCCTCTCCAGGGTTCCTGCAGCCCCTTTAGGCACTGGAGCTGCTCTCAGGTCTCCCCTTCAGGAGCCTTCTCTTCTCCAGGCTGACCCAGCCCAGCTCTCTCAGCCTGGCTCCAGAGCAGAGCTGCTCCAGCCCTCGCCGCATCTCCATGGCCTCCTCTGGCCTCGCTCCAACAGCTCTGTGTCCCTCTTGTGCTGCTGCCCCAGAGCTGGATCAGGGCTGCAGGGGGGGATCTCCCCAGAGCTCAGCAGAGGGGCAGGATCCCCTCCCTGAGCTGCTGCTCACACTCTGGAGTGCAGCCCAGCACATGGGGGGGTCTGGGCTCAAGCGCTCACTGAAGCTGGGTCATGGGGAGCTTCTCACCCAGCACCCCAAGTCCTCCTCCTCACGCTGCTCCATCCAGTCTCTGCCCTACCTGTAACGATGCCTTTGATGCATTGAAGTGAATATCCTGCACTTCCCCCACCTCTTGGCACAGGCTCAGCTAACTCATGACTGCTGTAACAGAGCTCAGACCTCCAGAGGTGGTGGCCAGTGCGGAGGGCAGTGCCATGGCTCCTTGCTCGTGCTCTGCCTTGACCTTCAGCTGCAGTGCTGCTGTGTCATCTTGACTGCAGGCTGTGTTCTTACAACCCCAGGATGACACCAGGCTAGAGGAGATGTGTCCAGGAAGGGAAAAGGATGTGTAGGGGGAAAGGAACTAGGCTTTGACTGGGGCTAAAGCTGCATCCAGAGCAGCTCACAGTGGTTTGTGTATCACTGGCATCTGATCCAGGGGATCAGATCCTCTCCACAGTCCTGTTTGCTAATCAAATACCCACAACTTGCAGTGCTGCACCATTAAATAGCCTTCATCTGCTTTGGGATTCTCTGCCTGATGCCATTCCAGTGGGAGGTGTGAACCAGGGTGCTCCTCTTGGAGTAATCTCCACTTGGGAGTCAGATGTCTCCAAATGGAGGGTTTAGATCTGTTTCCAACTGCCAGCTTTATTCCAGCACCAGCCATTCTTGAGCTCTGCTTATCTTTTGCTTCAGGGCTTTGCAGAAGCATGGACCAGAGGCTGAGTGCTGCTGTGCTGGGGAAGGGAGAGGCTGTGCAATCTGCCTGGAGGTTGTGCAAGGGCTTGCACAAAACCCTCACCCCAGGGAGCCTCTGACTGGCACTGCTTGGGCTTGGGCTTTCCCGAAAGGGGAAGGGCGTGTTGGGAGTGCTCCAGCACGTCTACACATTGCATTGCCTGGTCTGGGGCTGCCGGAGATGTGGGGATGGTGCTCACGCCCATGTGGCTGCTGTACAGACCCGTTTGGTTGGCCAAAAGGCTGCATCCTGCCAACGTCTATTAGTAATAGCCTCGAATAACAGAGTAGGCTCTGCCTGTGGAGTAGTGGCTCTCTTCTTGTGACCTAACAGACGGTTTTCAGGCTGGGATTTACACCCTGACACCCTCCTCTGCTCACTGCAGCTTGGACAGAGCAGTAGCTGAATCCAGCCTCATGGGTCAGAGCTGAGAGCACATCCCAGATAGGAATGGGCTTGCCCCTGTCACAGCTTGTCACAGGGCTCATTGCAGTGTGTCTCACTGCCCTGCTGAGCAGAGCTGACAGGTTTCCCACCTTAACTTGTTCTCCGTTTTCTAGGAGAAGAAGAAGAGAAAGAAGCACAAGCATCAGCCCTCCTCCTCATCATCATCATCATCCTCCTCCTCCTCGGCCTCAGACAGCTCAGACTCAGACAGTGATGGGGCTCAGCCAGCCAGCAAGAGGAGAAAGCACTCAAGAAAGGGCAGCAAGGCCCAGAAGAAGAAGAAGAAGCAGAAGAAGCAGAAGAAGAAGGCCTGAGGCTGAGCAAGCTGGTGGGGCACCAGCGGTGTGAGCCCCTGATGTGTGCACCACGAGGCGTGAGCAGAACTGAACAGCACAGCCACCATTAAATAGCCTCCATCTGCTTTGGGATGCTCTGCCCGATGCCTTTCCAGTGGGAATTGTGTACCACAGTGCTCACCTGGGAGTAATCTCCATACACCCCTTCCTCAGCACCAGGCCTGGCTGCAGCCTTGTGTCCCACTGGTGCTGCCCATTCATTGTCTGTGAAAGGTGGAGCAGCTCAGCCGTGTGTCCTGCGTCCTCCCAGTGCAGTGTCTCTTGACTTTAGGCTTAAACCCTCCCCTGGCCTCACTCGTGTTGGCTGCGAACATTGGGAGTGGAAAAGTAAGGAGCAAAGAGGTGAATGGAGATATTTTAAGTAAACATTAACAGTGGTGTGTTGGCACCATGGTAAGGGATGGAAAACAAAGCACTCCAGCCTCCAGCTGCACTTTGTACCTGGTCTTGTCCTTCGTGTGTTCTACACTTGGTCTTGGGCAGTGAAAGAGTCGGGGTAGGGGTGTGGGAAGAGGTGAGGCCTGTATTAAAGGGGTTGTTTGGAGTCCTGGCTGCTTTGTGAGGTCCCCTGCAGCGGGAAGGGAGGGTGTAATGAGGCAAGAACCCTTTTGGAGGGGGGTATGAGCCTTGTAACTGGAGCTGAAGGCCAGGGGAAGGGGTGGCAGAGCTGCGCTCTCCTGTACCTGTGACTGCAGTAGGTTCCCTGTGTGTCCCAGCCACATGGGAACTGTTGCTCCCATGGAGGTTGGAATGGGGCTGGATGGAGGTCAGCTATTGGCATGGCAGGACACAGGGCAGCTGCTCCTTCTCCTGTTGCTTCTCCCCCCACTTCCCCACAGCCAAGCCCCCTTTGGGGCCAGTTCCTTCCCAAACCCACACCTGAGGTGCTGGTGGCCTCAGTCTCTGTCTGCAGCTTTGGGTTGTGGAATGATGGCTCTTGCTGGCATGGAACACGCTGGGAGCATGGAGGAGCGATGCCAGAGCTGCAGTGGGAATAAACCCAGTATTCCCTCTGGAGAAGCACATTTCTACCCGTGACCACCTCTGCTTCCCACTGCTCAAGAGAACAGGCTGAGGCCACTACTGGGATTGAGCCTCCTTAACCCCATCAGTGTCCAGGCTGGTTTAACCCCCCCATTCCCCACGGCTGGAGCCTGCAGGTGAGCCCGAGCCAACCCCCCTCTTCCCAAGGCACTGCTCCCAGAGCTGTAACAACGAGACCTTTATTCATCCTTCACGTGGCTTTTTCCCATTATCAATAAAAAACAAGAGCCCTGACCCATGAGACCGGCCCCAGCAGCCCCCGAGCGATGGGGACAGGGGCAGCGGGTGGCCCCATGGCGTGATGGGCTCCAGGACCCCGGTGTGGGGCGAGGGCTGAGGTGTGTGTGGGGGGGGCGAATGTGGCACCAGGTGACAGGCAGGGAGCTGGGGATGGCATCTATGTGGCCTTCTCGTAGGTGCGGGTGGACACGACGTTGCCCATGGTGAGAGTCTGGTGGTAGAAATGGGGGTGTTAGTTGTGATGTTGGGGCAGCTCCTGCCTGCCCTGGCCTGGCCTGAACCCTTCTGCATAGAATCTCAGTTTGGGATGGAAGGGACCTTCAAGCTCATCCAACTCCAACCCCTGCCACAGGCAGGGACACCTTCCACTGGAGCAGCTTGCTCCAAGCCCCTGTGTCCAACCTGGCCTTGAACACTGCCAGGGATGGGGCAGCCACAGCTTCTCTGGGCACCCTGTGCCAGCGCCTCAGCACCCTCACAGGGAAGAGCTTCTGCCTAAGAGCTCATCTCAGTCTCCCCTCGGGTAGGTTAAAGCCATTCCCCTTGGCCTGTCCCTACAGGCCCTTGTCCCAAGCCCCTCTCCAGGTTTCCTGTAGCCCCCCCTCCCTTTTTTAAAGCATGACTGCACCCCTTAACTCACACCATTCCCATTATGGCTATTAAATACATTATACATCACGATTTTGTTTCCTGTATCCCCATAGCAGTTTTTCTCGCTGGTTTTCCCACTAATCCACCCATTCTCAACACCAATACCACTTGGTCTCCTTTCAAACCATTTCTATTTCCTTACCAGGATTAACTTCCCATCCTTCAGCTCCCGCACCAGCGATGTCTCCTTCCCATCCCACTTCTGCACATGGACCAGTTTGCCTCCATCCAGCGTGACCACGGACTGAGGGAGAGAACAAGAGCCACCATTACCAGGGCAGATACTAGGAGAGGTACTAAGGGATGTATCAGGGCAGGTATCGGGGATGGTACCAGGGCTCTGATCTGAACCAAAAGGGCCTGGGAAGGGTTTTGGATGGGCTGACCCAGCACGCTCCGGGGCTGCTGTTTGCACAGCTGCTGCTGCTGACTCAGCACCCAAACCCTGCCAGTGCCAAGGTTACTGTGAGCCTGGGGCTGTGCCAGGGCCACATCCTGCCCTGTGCCCCACACCGGGTCCCCCCATGGCTCTGGCTCCTCCTTCCCAGGGCTCAGGGTCTCCCCATGGTGTTGTCCCCACCCAGGCTCTCTGCGCACCTCGGGATCCCCACAACTCATCTTCTTGCACAGGGCCCCACGGCCCTGGACCCACACATCTGGGTGCCCCATAGTGTGCCAGCCCCATCGATGCAGCCCCATGGCTCGGGCAGCCTCCTGTGCCCTTTGGCCAGTAGCCAAGGAGCACCCGAAGGGCACGTCCTGGGTTGTGGCAGGGTCTGGTGCCGGTCACATGCTCTGCTGCTCCAAGCATAGTTTCCACCAGCTCCAGCCAGTGTGAGCAGGGATCTGCTGTGGACATGGATCTGTTTTGGGCATGGATCTGCTGTGCACAGGGACCTGCTATAGACTGGGACCTGCTGCCCTGTATCCCCCCCCGGCACCCATCCCCTTTCAGCCCATCCTCACTCCGTGCCCAGCTCTTGCACTTGCTGCCTTGGGCTGGGGAAGGGGATTTGTGTCCAATGAACCTCAGTCCCACCCCCCCCGGGATGCCCCCTGGGCTGGGGGGCACAGGGCTGCCCTATGCACAGTGTATGTAATGGTGCATGGGATCAGCTGCTGGAGCTAGGAGACAGCAGGGGCAGCGCTGCAAGGGGCAATGTGCAGGGGGGAGAGGCCAGGGAAGGAGCTCGGACCCTTCTTGAGGTGCTTTTTCCTTGCTCTTATGGGAAGAACGGCCCCATTGGGTTCAGCATCATCCAACTGCTCCATCCCTGCTGCAGCTCTGCCCGGGGGGGGCTCAACGCCGAGCTCTGCCCCGATCCCTGCCCTGGAGCAGGGACAATGCTCGCTGCCACCCACACATCCCCTTTGCCTGCTCTTGAGCAAGCCCAGCCCTTGCACAACCTCCCTGCCCTCCAGGGACACCCCAGCTGAAAACAGGGTGAATGAGACCAGGTTTGAACCCCAACCCTGGAGCAAAGAGGCTTCATCCTTCATCCACAAGGCTGAGCCGTGCGGTGACGGCCGGATCCCATTGATCCCACAGATCCCACCTGGGGGGCCGGGGCTCACCTTGACGTGCTGTCGTCCGCCGTGGTCTCATCGAACTCCTCGCCCAGCTTGAAGCTGATCTCCGTGTTCTTGAAGGTGCTCTGGGTCTTCACCGTCACCTTGTCCCCATCCAGCTCGATGATGGTGGTGGGCTTGGTGAACCCGGCCACCTGCCGCGTGGCAAAGCCCACGCCTGAGGGTGCAGGGGCAGGGTGAGGGTGCGCGGAGGATGCAGCATCACCCTCCAGCATCACCTCATGGGTATGGGGGTGAACCCGAAACCCCCCAACCCATGCTCCTGGCCACCCCCCAGGGTTTTCCTGCTCTGCTTGGGGAGGGCTCTGGGATGGGAACAATGGGAAAAGGGGCTGGGAATGCTGCCATTGCAGCACCCAGCTCCAGGGTTGCGCTTGGGGAGGGGGGGGATTCACCAGTGTCCCCCACGTCATGGACCACTCTGTGGTGTGGGATGCACAGATGTGATGTGTGTTTGGGGGGAGGGGGGGGAGGGTTGGGGGGGATCCTGATCAGCTCCCAGCACACCCCCCCCCCCCCCAAAACCAAGGGCAGAGAATGACGAACCCCCCCCACCCAGACCCCCCCATAACCCACCCCCCTATAGCAGCGCCCCCCCCTAACCACAGCCCCATGCGCTTGGTGGGATGGGGGAATATAAACCACGCAGAGGGGCGATGCCCGGCTCCAGCCCCCCCCGGTGCTCACCCAACGCCTTCATGTACTCATCGAAATTGGTCGTTTCCACCAGCTTCCAGGTGCCCACGAACGCATCCACCATGGTGCGGGGCTCCGGGGAGGGGTGCAGAGGGGAAGGGGGGGGGGTCCCAGGCAGCGGCTTTCGGCAGCGCCCAACCCGCAGCTCCCGTCCGGCCGCGCCGCCGCCTTAAATAACGTCCCCATCACATGATTGGAAAGAGCAGACCCGCTCCAGGAATACTCCTCCTCGGCAGCGCTGCCAGCGCCCACCCCGCGCCCCGACAGCGGGGCGCAGCCATGGGGCGAGCGTGCCCTGAGCTGGGTCGGGTCCCGGCTCCCCAAAGGGAGAGGGGCGATGGGGAAAGGGGGGGTGCGGGCGTGAGCATCCCGACGGAGGGGTGGTTTGGGGTGGGGATGTGTGTGGGGACAGCAGTGGGGTCCTTCAGGGGGATGTGTGCTGAGGTGGGGGCCGTGGGGACCCCTGCTCCATGTGTGTGTGTGTGTGTGGGGGGGAATGTGTGACCCCAGTGATGCTCTGTGTGTGCGGGGGACATTGGGGACAAGGGCGGCCATGGGACCCACACGTGTCCCCTTTTGCTTCAGGCTCTGTTGGCAGTGGGGTCCATCCATCAGGACTCCATCCCCAGCACTGGGGGGGGTCCCACTTTCGGGGTGGGGTGGCCTCACCCCCATATCTGCAGCGTGTTCCCCATGGGGTCTTAGGCACAGCGGGGGCAGAAGGGGGTGAGGGAGGGACCCGAGGACACCTCCTCCCTCTCTCTGGCCCCAAGGTGTCATTGCAGGCACCCAAAAATAGCCGGAGCTCGTGTTCAGCCTCTTCCCACTGCGCTGCCTGTGATGGAACCCATTGCGGTGGGGAGATGGGGACAGACCCCGTGGGGTGAAAAGGGGGGTGTGTGACATGAGGTGTCCCATGTGTGCAGAGCCCGGTGCCCACACACTCCCCCAGCCTCCCCCCACAGCAGTGGGACCATGGGATGTGGATGAGCCGCATGTAGGGCACAGAACACCCATCCAAAGGGACACCCATGACAGGGACACCACGTATGTGGGTACCGATGCACGAATACCCGTGCACATGAGCATGTGTGAGCACGCCTGCCCATGCACATGGATACCTACCCATAGGAGCACCCACGCATAGGAGCACCCACATGCATGGATACCCACACACAACAGCACGTCCCCGTGTAGATTTCCCCTCCACGGACACCCATGCGCACAGGCACCCACACACGCATGCCCATGAACATAGGTAGCCACACACATGGACACCCGCTCACATGCTTGAGCACCCATGCACATGATCTACTCCATGCACATGGACGCTCACCCGCAGGAGCACCCATGCACATGGGCACCCATACCCACAGAGACCCACCACACACGTGAGCACCCATGCGCATTAACACGCATGCCCATGCACATGGACACCCACCCATGGCAGCACCCATGTACATGGATATCCATGCACGTGGACATCCATTCACATGAAGGTGCATGAATATGGACACCCATATACAAGGTCATCCATGTGCATGAACATACATGCACATGAACATGCATGCACATGAACATGCATGCACATGGGCATCCATGCATATGAGCATCCATGCACGTGAACATGCATGCACATGAACATGCATCCACATGGGTATCCATCCACACACATGAGCATCCATGCACATGAACATGTATGCACATGGGCATCCATGCACATGGCCATCCATGCACATGAACATGCATGCACATGGGCATCCATGCATATGAGCATCCATGCACGTGAACATGCATGCACATGAACATGCATCCACATGGGTATCCATCCACGCACATGAACATGCATGCACATGGGCATCCATGCACATGGCCATACATGCACATGAACATGCATCCACATGAGCATCCATCCACACACATGAGCATCCATGCACATGAACATCCATGCACATGGGCATCCACGCACATGAACATACATGCACTGCATGCACATGCATACATGCATGGCTGTCTGCACACATGAACACCTACCCGCAGGAGCACCCCTACACATGGCCACCCATGCACACTGTGTGCACAACACCCATGCACATGGATGCACAAAGGTGCTCACACCTGGGTTCCCCATACACAGAGGCACCCATGCACACAGGTACCCATGAACAAGGGTCCCCATGCACACTCACATGCATCCACACACGTGTGGCTATGTTCACGTTGGCTGGACACGGTGACCCCACACATGGCCCCACACCAGTGTCCCTGACCCGGTCACCCCCCAGGGTGGTGGCCAGAATGGACCTGGGCTTTGGGCTTCCTTTGCTGGTCCCACAGCGACAGCTATAGGTGACCGTGGTGATGGAGATGGGTCCAGCCCAATGTGCAAGCTCTGCCTGGCTCCAGCTTCCCACCAGGAAACCCCAGCCTGGGCAGGATCCTGCCTCCCAAGTCCTTCCCAGCCCCTCGGCGCCCGGGCAGGGGGGTCCCCATCCCACCCGACAGCAGGTTTTGGGGAGCAGCGCCTGGGAAAGCCCGGCTCCATCTCACACCCCCCTCATTCCAAAGCACTGCAGGACCCGTTTGCCGCTGTTCCCTCTCCTGGGTTTTCCCCAAGGAATACGAGGGGATCCCAGGCCTCTGGGCATGGGCACCCATAGGTGGCCCTGGCAGAGGGGGGATGCTCAAAACAGCATCACCCTGCTACCCCCCCCCCCCCCCCCCCCAAATCACCAGCATCCTCTTGTCCATGGAGCCGAGACCCCCATGCATAGGGCAGGGACCACCCTGGGATGCTCCGCTCCTTGGTGGGAGCACTCAGCAAGGTGCTGGCTGCCTTTGCTTAAGGGCTGTTGGGGGGACGTTGGGGTTGTGCCCCCCCTCCCTTGGAAAAGGCCCCCGCATCACGCAGGAAGAAAGGCGAGGAGACGGAGGTGGTACCCAAAACATCACAGTGAACACCACACTCAGCTAGAAACACCACAGGCTGCTCCTGCGGCCAGGAGGAGCCCCCCCCGGGGAGCCCCCTGTGCTCGGCTCTGCCCAGCGTCCCAGGACAAACACATTCCTCCCTCGAGTCCTCGCCCCGGGTGGGAATTGCCCCTTGGGAATCATCCCGGCAGGTCCCCGTGCGATGCTCGCCCCATGGCGGGGGGATGATGCCCGATGGCAGCACCGAGGAGAACCCAGCGGACTCCGGCCGTGCCAGGGAAGCTGGGCTGATGCTCCACAGCCTCCTCCTTCCTCCGCTGGTCAGCAATGGCCCCCCCCGGAGCGGGGTTAGGACGTGTCCTTCAGCTCGGGGCTGGGGGGCTGCGGAGGGGGCACCTCCGCCGAGGGGGACTGCATCTCCTGAGCGCTGCCTGCGGGAGAGAGCAGGGGTGAGGGATGAGAGCAGAACATGGCCCACACAGTGTGTGTGTGTGTGTGTGTGTGTGTGTGTGTGTGTGTGTGCTGGGCTGCACCCCCAGAGCGTGATGGAGGGGATCCTGCCCCTCTGCTGTGCTCTGGGAGACCTCCCTTGGGTCCTGCATCCTGTCCTGGGGTCCCCAGCATAAGGAGGACATGGAGCTGATGGAGCAAGGCCAGGGGAGGCCACGAGGATGCTCAGGGGCTGGAGCAGCTCCCATATGGAGCCAGGCTGAGAGCATTGGGGCTGTTCAGCCTGGAGAAGAGAAGCTGCGTGGAGACCTCAGAGCAGCTTCCAGTGTCTGAATGGGGCTACAAGGATACAGGAGAGGGACTCTTCATAGGGACTGCAGCGACAGGACAAGGGGTGATGGGTTCAAACTGAAACAGGGGAGACTGAGATGAGCTCTTAGGCAGAAGCTCTTCCCTGTGAGGGTGCTGAGCCCAGAGAAGCTGTGGCTGCCCCATCCCTGGCAGTGTTCAAGGCCAGGTTGGACACAGGGCTTGGAGCAAGCTGCTCCAGTGGAAGGGGTCCCTGCCCGTGGCAGGGGTTGGAGCCGGATGAGCTTTAAGGTCCCTTCAGCCCACCGCAGGCTGTGGTTCTATGACAAGCAGCCCCAGTTCCTGCCCTTCCCTCACCATCCTCCATGGTCCTCATCACCCACCTGCGCTCAGGGACATCTCTGCCAGCTTGAGGGGCAGGTCAGCGGGGCTGACACCGGCCGGAGAGCCCAGGATGTCAGGCAGGGCATTGCGCCTGCCCGTCCTCCCGGAGGATGCGAAGTCCAGCACGGGTTCCACCTCGGTCATGTTAACCCTGCCGAGACACATCCCTGCCCATCAGCGCCTGGGAGCACCGAGGATGAGCTTTAAGGTCCCTCCCAACCCAACCCATTCCATGATCATGGAGAAATGGGGTCCCCCCCCCAGCAGCCTTACCGGGCACCCTCCAGCCTGGCCTGGTGCTCTGCCTCCCCCGTGCCCAGGGTCCTGCTTTGCTCCCTGGCTTGGTGCTTCCTCCTCCCAGGGTCTCACAGGCAGTGAGGGACCCCCCAGTAGATGGGGACCACCCGGCTGGGTCCTTCAGGCTCCAACCTGGGGGGAGAGAGAGGAGGGGTCAGCAATGGGGCAGTGCAGGAGGGAGCCGCGTCCCCATGGGTGGTACCCAGAGCTCCCAGCACCCTCCTCCCTGTGGGGCTGCAGCAAACCAGGCTGTGAAGGGCAGGGACCCCTTGTTGGAGAGATGGATGGAGAACAGGGATGGGGACGGGGAGGTGGGATGTGAGGGTGGCACAGGGTGCCCAGAGAAGCTGTGGCTGCCCCATCCCTGGCAGTGCTCAAGGCCAGGTTGGGCACAGGGGCTTGGAGCAAGCTGCTCCAGTGGAAGGGGTCCCTGCCCATGGCAGGGGTTGGAGCTGGAGGAGCTTTGAGGTCCTTTCCAACCCAAACCAGGCTGGGATTCATTGATTCTATGGCAGCAAGGCAGGCTAAGAGCTCACTGTAGCGTGTGCTTGTGCATGCATGGCATCCCCTGGCACACATATGCATGCGTGTGCACCCCATGTCAGTGCAGGGGCTCCCATTAAGTGCCAGGGCTGTGTCAGCCCCTGGTCACAGAGGTTCCCATCACACATCACACGTCCAAGTTCACGTCCTCCGTGTGGCACCAATTGTGGCCACGCTGACCCTGGGCACCAGGACACAAGCAGCATCCATGTGGATGCCGGAGCAGCCGCCGTGTCCCACTGTCATCCATTGGGAACAGGGGCTGGGCTGACACCTGGTGTGTGTGATGATGCACACACACACACACACACGTGTACACTCGTGTTCACACACATATGTATGCACACAACTACACCTATGCACACGTATACATGTATACACATGTGGATGCTCACATGCACACACGCATCCAGCAGGGCAGGAGCCCCACAGGGCCAGATCAAAGCCCCTTCCCAGCAGCTCCCTCTGGCTCAGGAGCTGCAGAACCAGCAATAAGGAGTCTTCAAGGCCAGGCTGTGTCCATCCTGCAGTTCCAGGGACACCGGGGTCAGGGTACCAGGGATGCAGCCGGGGGTTCCATCCTGTCTGTCACCCAAACCACCATGCAGAGAGATGAGAAAAGGTGCTGGGATCCTGCAGGGGTTGTCATGGTTGGGGATCCTGAGCACTGCTGGGTGCAGCATCACTGTCACAGGGAGCCCATCGCGCTGTCCGCATCCCGCTGCATCCCTGCGTTCCCATGGGAGCCTGCCCTGTGCCAAGTGGTCCCAAACCCAACCCAGCCTGGGCAGGGATTTCCCCTGTAAGCAGGGGCTGTTTCTGTGGGGCTTAATATGGTCTCATCTTAAAATAGCCCCTGGAGTCACATGGAAGGTCCTCAGGGCCACTGGCTCCTTCTTTAATGCCCCTAATGGGATATAGGAGGTTGGGGCAGAAATAAACCTTAATCCTTCCTGGAGATGGGCCATGGTGGAAGATCCTGGGAAGAGGTGGAGGGAGGACATGGCACAGGGATCCATCATACCCCTTGGGAATTGAGCCAGCCCGCACTGCCCCCAAACCTTGGGCATCTTCAAGCACCACAACATCCTCCCAGCACCAGAGCATCCCATCAGGTGCTGCTGAGCCCTGATGCTCTCGTGCCACAGAGGTGAGAGCCATGGACAAGCTCTGAGCACCTTGGCTTGGGCTCAGGATGCTCAGCAGCACCATTTGGCTGCAGCAATGATCAAGCACAAGAGGGGAAGGTGATGGACACCAGGCACATGAACCAGGCCTGCTCCGGGGTGTTTAGGACCAGGGAGATGGGACAACGATGGCTGGGAAGTTTTGCTAAGGATTCATTTCCCCATAGGATTTGCTTCTTCGGCTTCTAAGTGGTTGATGTGTCCTTGGCTCATCCGAAGCATGGGTTTGGGCCATTTCATGTCCCCAGCTTGCTTTACAAAGGGGGTTCTTCACGCTGCTTTAGTTCAATGTGGTTCAATGGGGTCTGTGCTGAGCCTCTCCAGCCACAGGCTGGGAAATGCTGCAGCCCAGCCCGAGACATCCGTGTTATTAAGGGATGATGAGCGGGATGAAACATGGGAAGGATTTACCGAGGCGTAGCTGTAACACTGAATTAAATGAGGCTGCAAGCCGGGAAGGAAAGAGCTGCCCTGGATCAGAAGGGGATGAGAGCATCATCCAGTGATGAGTCCGCACGGGAGGCAAATCCAACGGGGCTGATTTAAGCAGAGAGCGACAGGCACCAGGCAGAGCAAAGAGCCCCTGGGGCTGGGAACAGCAGATGGCAATGATTAAACACAGGATAAGGTCTGGAGAGCTGAGGGATCCCCCATGGAGGCAGCAGGTTGGGACCCGGTGGGTTCATCCTGAGGGATGTGGCCGCAGGCACAGGAGGTGCTGAGCAGCACCCGCTGCCATGTGGCAATGGGCTTTGTCAGCTGTCAGCAGCCCATAAACAGTGCCCAGGATCTAGGTGAGAGGGAAGGATGGGAATAAATATTGTCCCAAACTCATCGTCTCCAGGGCAGGGATGGAAAAGGCCTCAGGAATGTTGGCTGGTGCTGGAGTATTGATGCAGAAGGACACAGAGAACAAGCCCGCCACTGAGGTGGTCTCGATGCGAGTGTCTGGAGATGATGATCCCTGCTGTTGATGGATGCAGCCCATGGAGGATGCTGACACCCCATCGCCTGCCCTTGGCAGCAAACCCTCTCTGACCACGGACTGCACTTCTGTCCCTAAACCTCCAGCTTTCCAAGGGGAAGAGCTCGGATCCTGCCTGGTGCTTTTCCAGGGATGGTGGCACAGTCTGGAGCAAACCCGTGCCTGGGTGCTCGGAGCATCACCGAGGTCGCACACCAGCCTCACCTACTTCCCCTCTTCTCCACAGCTCCTGCTCGTGCTTGGGTTGCCTCATCCATCCTGGGGCACACTGAAGGGTCTGTTCCTCCCCTCCATCATCCCGGCATCGCCCTCATCATCCTCACATCCCTCTTCACCCCTTCCCCTACTCCATTCGTGGTCCCCATCACTGCTTTGCAAGTGGGCAAGACCAGATCTAAGCTCAATGACCATATCTAAACTCAGTCCCATTCCTGCTCATACCCCATTCCTGAATTATTCCACCCAAACCTCTCCTGGGGTTACAAGGATGCTTTTAAGGATCTTCCTTCCCTTGGATTCATTTCCTTTTGGATGCCTTAGAGATGACTTGTTTTTTAAGGACCTTTTCTCCAGCTGTTGGACCCAAAGTCTCCTTTTCACCCTAAAACCTGGGATGTGTCTGAGCTAAAGCCAGCCTAGATGGGGCTGGTTGGATGGAGCTTGGAGCAAGCTGCTCCAGTGGAAGGTGTCCCTGCCTGTGGCAGGGGTTGGAACTGGAGGAGCTTTCAGGTCCCTTCCAACCCAAAGCATTCCATGATTTTGGACCAAGCAAACACTTCCCTGTCTCTGCAGTGGGGCTCATCCACGCCTCTTGGATATTGGTACCTCAATTCCCATTCAAGGCAAAGAGTGAGAATGAAGTCCAGAACACGACACTGATAACCTTCATTCCCCATAATCCCTGGATGCCAACAGGGAGATGAGCCCCAGAGGTGGCTTTTGCTGCTGACATCCATAGGATGGAGTCGCTGGGAGGAACAAAAGATGGCTCTTGCTCCATCAATCCCTGTCTCATCGTGCACAGGGATGACGGCAGAGTTCAGCTCTGCTTAATACCCTCCCGAAAGCAAATAAAATCCAACCTGAGCCTCTCCAGACACGATTCCAGGCTGCTTGCAGGAGCTGTCACTCTGGTTTATAACACTGCAAACAAACCAGAGCAAGGCCTGCTCGAGGGTAAGAGTGAAAGCAGCTCAGGCGCTCGCTGCCATCCCAACCCAAAGCTTCCCCCAGCATCTGCAGGGCAAACCCAGCGCTGCCAACCCGAATGTGGTGCTCACCACCGTGTCCCACATCATGGCTCGGCTCCCCCAAAGGGCAGTGACCACAGGGAAGATCCCTTTTTGATCCTGCAGACCCAGATTGGGCCGGGAAACTGCGCTCCATAGGACTCAGCAGTTAAATCCCAACTCAGCCCTGCTGAGCACAGCATCTCCTGCGAGTCCCTGCATGGGTAAGATAGAGGCATCTTTTCCTGTGGGAGCAGCATCCCGGGAAGATGCCAAAAGCACTGGGGAAACCTGAATGTGTGGTGTCCTCTGGACCATCCTGGCTTCATCCCTGGACAAGCCTGAGTTGCTCTCATTAAAGAGGAAAGCACTAAAAGCTCAGCAGAGCTGGCAGTGCAGCATCACTGCTGGGCCTTGCTGGGCGCTTATCCTGCACCCAAAAGCTCCTCATCTCCATCCCCCTGGAACCTGGAGCTCCCAGCCCAGTGCACATCGCTGCTTCCCATTTCATCCCTTCTCCCCTCGGATCCCTGTTCTCCTCTGGGAAATCCGGAGGGGAAAATGTTCCTTCTCTCTGTGCTAACAAGAAGCACCTCCAGCTTTTACCGACCTAAAGAGCAGGGCCCCTGTTCCCTGGCTGATGGGAGCTGCAAGATCCCTGTGCAGAGGTGTGGGCAGAGGTGAAGGAAGGGACCCCATCACATCCAGTGGAGGGATGGAAGGAGGGATCCTACCTCATCCCAGGGCAGGAACCCACTGCATCCCAGGGAGGGATGGAGACATCCCAGGGAGGGATGCAGGGAGTGATCCCAGCAAGTCCCAGGGAAGGATGGAGGAAGGGATTGCGCCACATCCCAGGAAGTGATGGAGGTTGCTCCAGCCACTCCCAGGCCACCCTGTGCTTGTGCCCATCGCTGCCCCCACCCCATCAGTTCCCCACCTTCAATTGGTGTGGTGGGAGAACAATCTCCCTGGTGCGCGTTGGGGACCCCACAAGGGTGCTGGGTGCGAGGGCTGAGCCCATCTCCCCCATCTTCCTCATGCTTTCAGGCCCATCCTTTGCATTTGGGTCCTTTTGGAGTCCAAGGGGGAGATGGAACAGCCCCATTCACAGGACGGTGATGGAAACCCACGTGCAGCCCAATGGAGAGGACCTGGCACCGCGGGTAAAGCAGTGCTTGCTCTCGTAGCCAAGGGAGATAAGCAGGAGCTTCCCCTGCCACACAGCCCCATTGCAGAGCAGGTGATCTAATGGGAGGTAATCGCAGTGATTGAGCCCTGGCTAATACAGCTCCCACCGTAACCCTGAGTTAGCTGCTCCCTGGCAGCACAAACTGTAATCTGGCACAATGAACGTGGCACCCACATCTCAGCCGCTTCCATTCTCCATCACGTCCAGGCTCCCTCCTCCCCACATGGCTTTTCATCAGCTGCTCCAGCCTCAGCATCCTGTTTGGGAGCCAATGGACCCGATCCGAGGCGCTGGGGACAGGGACAGCCTGGATGCTCCCCTGTGTGGAGCATGTGGGCAGCAGCGGGATTTGTGCCAGGGGAAACCCAAGGAGATGTGAGGATGCGGCGACACGGGCTCTGGGATGCAGGGGCTGGGACATCGGGGGCCTGATGGGTACCACTGGGTTCATTCTGGGATGTGCTGGGTGACACGAGCCACCAGGCATCTCTGATACGCAGTTGGATGGCCCCAGGCTCACCATGCATTGCAGGAGCCTCTTGTCCCATCACAAGGTGCCTTTACTCCATCACTTTACTCCTTTACTCCATCACTTTACTCCTTTACTCCTGGTCAGCACCAGGAGAGGAGCGTGGTCCAGCTGGGTATGGTGGGGAAGGCAGCTTCCCTAAGGAAGCAGCATGGAATGCAGAGGATGCTCCCAGCCCTACCAGGACACATGCATGCTCCCCCAGATCCTGTATCTTGGGGGCAAAGCCAGCTGAGGCTTCCCAGGCCACCTGCAGCATCTGCTTCCCCCCAGGGCCTCTCTCCTTCCCGCTGTAGCCCATCCAAGCAGGGACTGGAAACCTCCCCTGTGTCCTGCTCCCCAAGCAGCATCCTCTCCCGAGGATGAGTCTCCCTCGTGGTGAGGCATCACATGGAGGTGATCCAGATGCTTCCCCCCATCCCTGCATGGATGCCAGGAGCATCACTGGGATTCCCTGATGCGGTGGCTGTCACCTCATCACCCAGTGACACCCACCTGGCCTCTGGGGAGCGGCTGGGGAAGGGACTGAACCAAGGAGGGAACAAATCCATGCAGGCACCCTGGGATCAGAGGCAGGGATTGGAATTCTCATCCTGAATGGAGCAGAGCTGGATCCATCGCCCCTTGGCTGAGCCAGGCACTAGAACCTCCTGCCCAAGGAGCCAAGGTAGGAGCAGGGCTGTGGGTACCCTCCCCATCCTTCATGGTGCCATGTGTCCACAAGGGACTGGAGCACCCTGAGGGAGCACAGGGCCAGGTCAGGATATGGTGCCAGAGCTCCACTGGCTGAAACAGCAGCTGAACCCCAAGGCAGCAACCAGAGGCTCCAACAACCTCCCACCGAGCATCCCCCTGCTCCCAGCCACCTTCTCCACCTCCTCCAAGCATCCCAGTCCTGGAACCAACACCGTGAGTCCCCCAGCTTAAAGGAGTGAGGAGAGCCTGGCTCTGCCACCACCTTCCCCTCCAAAACCTCCTGCTTCAGGGGCAAGATGCTGCTGAGACCATAAAGGGTGGAGGTGATGGTCAGGCTCTCAGCCCCATTGCACCTTCCACCTCTGCTGCCTGGCCATGATGAGTGGGGATAAGCAGGGAGGACCCAGGCTGACAGCAAGAGCTGTGGTGTCCCTTGGTGGACAGCCCCAAGGTCACAGGCTGTGGGTACTCGAGGTGAGCACAGGGCATCCTGCCTCTGCCACCTCCTTGGTGTCCCTGCCACCCAGCCAGGGAACAGAAGCCAGCGCCGGGGACCAGAGGGACCCGATCCAAGGGGCAACCTGCCAAAAGAATGCCCTGGAGGCAGCGGGGAGGGGGTGTCCCTGGGGAAGCCCTTTCATCCCGAGAGGATGCCGCGGGAGGAGCCTGTCCCCTGCACAGAGCAGTGCTCAGCCCGTGCTGGGTCTCACTGCTGGGACCCCCCCCCCGGCACCCCAGGCCTGAAATCAGCTGGGAAGCTCAAATCTGGGAAGGTGAGGGCAGGAGCTGGGAGGGGGGGGCGGTCGGGGTGATGGAGATGAGGATGGGACAGGGTGGAAGGTGGTGGGGGTAATGGTGACCCTAGGACCTGCCAGGGAGAAGGGAGCAGGGGCTGAGGGCCCAGGATGGGACAGAGATGCCACCATGGGGGCTGATCTGAAATACCCAGCGCAGATGGGTGAGTCTTGCTCAGTGCCCGATCACTGCTCACCCTGATCTGCCCCAGAGCCACCTATCCCCAGTTGGATGGTCACAGACCCCCCCCCCCAAGCCCTTGAGTACCCCCTCAGCACCCAAGCCTGATGTAAAGTTTCCTCCCCCTAAGCCCCATCTGTACCCTAAAGCCACCACCACCCTCTCCTGCCTTTGCTCTGATGTGCTGCCATGGAGGTGCCCAGGGTGGGCACCCAGTCCCCATGGTGAGCACCCGATCCTCAGCACCCGTCAGCACAGGGCACCCACCCACCGTGGCCCAGGTCCTTGATCACCACCACCCATCAGCTGCTCACCTGGGCTCTGCTGGAGCCGCTGCCTACGTCGATACCGGCGGCAGTACCGGTGCTGCTGGCGGTGATGCTGCTGCTCCCGATGCTGATGTTGATGCCGCTGCTGCCGCCGCCGCCGGTGTCAGCGCTGCCGCCGGTGCCGCTCGGTGCCCGCAGGAGGGATGCTCCGCGCTCCGGCTCGCAGGCGGCCCTGGGGGCACCGGGGCCGAGCCGCCGCCGCCGCCGCTCCCGGCCCACGCTCCGTGCGGGGGGGACCCACCCGCCGCCCCCCCCCAGCCGCCGCCGCCGCCGCCGCCGTGCCCCGCCCGCCGGTGCCGCCCCGCCGTGTCCTCCCGTGTCCCTCCCGCGCTGTGCCCCCCCCCCCCCCCCACCACGGGAGGCTCCGTACGACCCCCCCCCCCCCCCCAGAGCATCCAGCCCGGGCTGGGGGCTCGCAGCGCGCTGATGGCGGCAGCTCCGCTCGGGGGGTGAAGCGCTGAACCCCCTGCTCCTGATGTCTGCGGATGGAGCCCCATGGGGGGGTGATGGGGGTTCCACTTGGGGCAGCTTGGTCCCCAACACCCCCCCCCCCTTCCCTCCCGGCTCATTTATTTCAGGTCCAGGATGGAAATCTTAGGAATAATAATTAAAGATAATAAGGGGATGGAGCCTGGGGTGGGGGAGTGGGGGGGGCTCGGAAAGCCTGGATCCCCCTGTAAAACCCACCTGAGCGTGCCCCAGCCCATGTTTTGCTCAACACAAGGACATGGGCAGCACCGAGTGTGTGTGATGAGGGGGTCTTCCCCCCGCCCAGCACCCCGGAGCCGGATGGGAGCTGTGAGGAGGGGAGGGGAGAGCAGCCTGAGCATGAACTGAGATCAGCCCAAAGCGGCACCCATCCCCTCGGCTGCCATTGCCCCTGTGTGTAACTGGGGCTGGGGAGAGCCTCCAAACGTCCCCTCCCGGCTCTCAGGGTGGATGTGCAGGGCCAGGTTGGAAGGGGCTTGGAGCAACCCGTCCTAGTGGAAGGTGTCCCTGTCCATGGCAGGGGTTGGAGCTGGATGAGCTTTAAGGTCCCTTCCAACCCAACCCACTCCGTGACTCCATGATCTGTGGCCAACCTCCTCTCCCTGCCTATGGTGAGGGGTGATGCTGAGCACCCGCACCAAGGTGCCCACCCTGTCCCTTCCCTGGGGGGCTCAGCACCACTCCTGGTCCCTGGGGAGGGCAGAGCTTCATGACCCATGAAGGGCAATGCTCTCCTGACCTCCGTCCCTGTGGAGGGATGAGGCTCACGGCACCAGCCAGGATCGGGTCCCCCCGTACCCCACGATGGGGCTGGAGCCAGCAGTCAGTGGGGGGGGGGGGGATGCATTCATCCTGCTGCTGGTGACGGGCGCTGGCAGCTCCCGCAGGGACCAAGCCTTCACCAGATGCTATTTTTAGCTCCTCACGCTCCGTTTTCTCCTTGACTGTCTCCCCTCTCTGGAGCAGTCTCTGGCCGAGCATCAGGGATGTTTATCCTGCCTGGCACCCGATCGGATGTGACACTGCCGGTCATGGCGGGGGGGCTGCATCCCTCTGAGCCAGGACGTGTGTGGGAGCAAGGGAGGGGACGTTGGAGGGAGAGGAGGCAAGCACAGGGTGATTGGGGAGGGTCGTGGTGGGTCTCCCCCTTTCTGCACCCTCCGGGTGCCCCCAAGGGATGCTCTGCCCTGGGACATCTCTGCATCCACCTTGGAACGCTTCCCTCTGCCAGGTGATCCTTTGGGAACAGCTGGGCTGGGGGGGCTGGATAAACTGAGGCACACAAGAGGTGTGGGTGTCTCCATGTGCGTCCCTGGTGCTCAATAACCTCCCCAAACCTGCCTGTACCCAGGACATGGGGAGCATCGGGGCCCAAACTCCAGCTTGGGTACAAGCCCCAGCAATGCAAAAGAGGTGGGAAGGGAAGGATTATTCCCTTACCAGGCAGCACCCGCTGGGTGTTGGGATGGGGCCATGCCTGGTGCTGTAGCCACATGGAGCAAAGGTTGCTCTGCTCCCCTGCTCCCTCAGGCTTTGCAGATGTTGGGAGCCTCTTGCCAGAATGCTCCTGGCAGGGACCTCAAATACCCCATCCATGCCCCCCCCCAGCATCAGGAGAGCCCCTGCTATATCCATCACAGAGGTGAAGTCAGTGAGGATGGGCTCAGACCACTCCCTGCCCTCCACCTGCTTTAAATCCCAAGAAAGGGGTCCAGAGCAGGGAGGAAATGGGCTGGGAGAGCCTGTTCTGCTCCCACTGCTGCGTTATCCCACTGGTCATCAAACCCCACTGACCCTCAAGCTGCTGACGGGGATGGAGGCAGCATCCCCCTGCCCCAGGCTGCAGCAGGGGAGGATCAAGCTCTCCTGCTTACTGCTGTGGGCTCTGATCTCAGCTCAAAGTCACCTCTGAGGAGAGCAGCACTTTGCTGTTCCTCTTTTAGATGTATCTTCCTGATTCCCAGCCCCTTTAAGACCCTGGTTTCTGGCTGGGTATGGAGGTGACGTGGAGGAAAGGCTATTCCTGAGCCGAGCTCGGCCCTGGGCTGCGTCAGTCCCTCCGTTAAGGTGCTATTTCGGGACATGGGTCACAGGGTTTGGGGACCTGCAGGTTGTTCGCTGGCCTGGGACAGGGACTGTCCATGAGGATGGGCAGGACACAGGCTCTGGGGCTCTGAACCAGCCCCGTAGTGATGGAGGTGGCTCCTATGGGATGCTGCAGAAATGATGCTCAGCCCTGGAGAATAGCCATCCTCCCTGTGAGATCCCGGAGGCCAAAGGCAGAGAGAGCATCTGGTTGCCTGGAGGATTTAAAACCAGAGGGAAAATGCCAACAAACACCTCCCAGGGATGCCATTTGTCACCAGGCAGGGTGGAGATGGAAGTCTGGCCATCGCCATGCTGCCTCGACAGGAGATGTAAGGTTACAGCACATAGCAGTGCCCTTCCCTAGCATCCTCATGCATCCCGGTACTCAGCCATCTGGATGTGAGCTGGCTGCACCGTCCTTCACAGGGACATGGATTATGCAGCACCATCTCCCCGTGGGCACATGATGGAGATGGTGGAGACCTTCCCCACGCTGTGTCCATGCATCCTTTCCATGACAGGGCATAGCATATGAGCTGCTTCTCCTATTCCTGTAGGTCAAAGCAGCTTGAATACATGCAAAGACTTGCACAGGGCTTTGCAGCTCGTCTCCAACTTGGCCATTCCCAGCAGTGGGAAAATCCACCCAAAATAACATCTTCCCATTATTTCATTGCAGCAGAAGCTCTTTTCTGACCCAAACCATGACGGGACTCACAGCCACAGCCTGCGGCTCATCCAGTTCATCACAGGAGCTGCGGTTCCACCAACAGCATCCCCATCCAATGTGCCTCTCTTGGGGCCCAGGCATGGAACGATTCACATCACCTGCCCCAATGGACAAGCATATTGTTTCTGGGACAAAATAGCCACAGTTTTGGAAGCCACTTTGTACTGACTCATATCGGCTTCAATCATGTTTTTGGGAAGCAGCCTGCTTTACATAGGAGAGGAGCCCAGGCAAGGTCAGGGATGTGCGGAAGAGCTCAGAGTAAACCAGGGTTTGGGAAGAGCTGGGAGGTGATGGGATTTGCCCACGGTTTGCTGTAAGAGGCCTGGTTGGGATGCTGAGGTGAGCTCTGGAAGAAAGGTGTGTAGGGAGTAACTGAGCATAAAGCATCCCCCAAAATGATGTCTTCATAGGGGGAAAAAAAGCAGCTCAAATCTATTCATGCTCCAGTAACTCCCAGATGCCTTGATGGGGATACAGGGAGCCTCACAAACACCTTCTCCGCCCTGCCATTGCTCCCTGCCCATGAAGGGGGATGCCTGCCCCAAAAGCCCTATGATTTAACCAACCCCTCCAGATCTGAGGCCCCATCCTCCCTCCGCAGACCCTCCCTGTGCAGCTCAACACCAGGCTGCTGCGAAGCAGCCAAACCAGCCCCAAATCACTGCGGGCGAAGCACCAGTGGGGTGGCTATGGAGTAGCCATCCCCCAGTGCCCCCTTGCAGGGGGCTGCTGCAGCACTGCCTCCAGCTCCAGCTCCAGCAGGGATTTGTACAAAGCTCCCGGCGCCTGGAATGGGCTTTTTTTATCCCTGGCTGCTCTTACGCTGACATTCTTCACTGTGCCACTGGCTCCGGCGCTGCTCGCTAACCCCTTTTACAGGCAGCTAAATATAGCCCAGGCAGCTAAGCAAAATCTGCTGCTCGGCAGGGCCACGTGGGGCTCGGCAGCACTGCTGCAGTATGGCCAGGCTGGGGGGTCTGCCAGCATCGGGGGGGGGGGACACGGCAATAAGGTCCTTGCTGGTAGCATCTTTCCCCCCCCCGCGGTGTCTCATCTGCATCCAGGTGAGCATCACCGCTGCTTAGATGCTGCCGATGGCATCCCAGCGCTTCTCTCCGCCTCTCAGCCTGGGGTTTCCTGTGGTTCTTCCACTCGAGCTTGGGTATTTAATGCTGGGGGAACATCTGGAGTTCATCAGCATCCCTGATCCTATAGAACCACCATGTAAAGCCTCAGGGTGCTGCTGTGCTTAACAAAGAACAGCCGCGTGGCTCCGGGCGTCCCCATGGGTGTTGTGTCAAGCACTCGGTGCAGGTAGAAAACCCCAAACCAGATGAGGCACCGTGTGGGGTCACCCACACCCCAATCGGGCCGGGCAAGGGGGGGACACGGCTCCCATGGGTGCAGCTCGGTCTCTGCCTCGCCTGTCAAAGGCAGATCTTTCCTCTGGAGCCATGAACTCATTAGGGAGACGCTGATTTAATCGTCTGCACACTGTGCTTGTGGGTCTTTTCCTTCGGGTTTAAAGAGCAATGAATCCTGGAGGGATTTAATTGGATCCCTATGGCTCATTAGCCATTTCTCTGGGAGGAAGGGTTGTTAAGGCTGAAGAAAGGCTGGAAAAAACACACAGCTTTCCATGGGCATCCCTAATGTACAATCCCCCTGGCATTGCCCCAGCCAGGCCGTGGCACCAGGAATGCCCTGTCAACCAGAGGACGTGGGAGATGCATAGGGTGGGTTCAGGGACGCTCATGCTGGAGTTTGGAGGAAGGATGGAGCCTTTCAGAGGGCCAATTGAGGGTCTCCAATCCAGAGCTGGGATGAGGATGGAGGCAGAAGCACCCAGCAGTGTGGGGCTGCAGGCTGGGAGTGGAAGGACCATGTCCTCCTGCGCCATGGACCAAGGGCACTCAGAGCAAGGTCTCACCCTGC